AAAATGTATTTAAAATTCTAAGTAAGTGGCTCACCAGCTTCTGGAATACAATCCACTCTTATGTTGGGAACTGTCTTTACTCACACAGGTTTTATTTCTCTACTGTTGCCTAGCAACTGAGATGTGGCAAGAGATGTCAGAGGTTAAGGAGCAGACTAAAGTCATTATGGAAAGCAAGCCTTATCAGCATTTTCAATCAAACTTTGTACTCCTTGAAATAAAATAGGTTTCATTGTATTGAATAGTCTGTATTTTTTCTTCTCAAATGCCTAGTTTTTAGAAACTTTTCCTTTCTGAATGTAAGTCCAGTACACATGGAGAATTTTAATTATGTATATTGCTTTGAGATGGACTTCTCTATTACACTGGCACACTTTAAAGGTTAAAGTGAAAAACTGGCATTCTGAAGTCATATACTATGTGAAAAGTGGCTGTGAATACATTTGAAAGCATTCCAAGAGTTATGAAAAATGCACATTGGCTGTAAATGTCCTCTCTTTGAACCATTACTTAATGTTAAATAAAATTCCATTTCCAAATACATTGGCTTGCTTATTAAAAAATTATTCTTTAGAGACAAGAATGCAAAATGTTCTATAGGTTTGCTTGTATCTTTTCTGAAGTGAGAAGGAGTGTTATCAAAATTTTAGCATCTCCTCTGGAATTTATTTTTTTCACCCTGTTCTGTATCAAACGCTAGGCCCCTAAGAATTTGTAACTCACGGATAGTTGATTGCATTTTAGCATGATGCATTTTGAGACTTGTTTTCCAGTGGGCATAACACAATATGCTTTGATGCCATTTCATTTCTAGGCAATGTGGTGGTTCCATCACTCCCAGACCAAATTTTTAAGTTTTCCAAATTAAAGGTTTAAAGGTAAGGCAATCTGAGTTAGAATCACATTCTATGTTGGTTTGAAGTAAATCCAGAAATATGTTTGGAGGACAAACTTTATCCTTTCTTGTGGGTCTCCCTCGTTTGTCTCTGAGTGAAGCCACCATGGTCATCCATTCATAACTGTGTCCTTAAATCTCTTTAGAGAAAATTAATTCTATCCTTTCTGGATTAATTCCCAAACACTGAACTCCCAGTTTAGTCAAAGATTCTAAACCAAGACTCTGTGCTAAATAATTCTTATCAAAAGTCTAATTGGGGCCTGGCCAGTTTAGCTTAGTGGTTAGAGCGTAGGCCCACAGACAGAATAGTTGTGGGTTTGATTTCCAGTCAAGGGCTGGGGATGTACCTTGGTGGCAGGATTGATCCCCAGCCCTGGTCGGGTCATGCGGGAGGCAACAAATTGATGTGTCTCTCTCACATAGATGTCTCTCTCTATCTCTCTCTTTCATCTTCCCTCATTCTATCTGAAAAATCAGTGGAAAGACATCTCTGGGTGAGGATTAAAAACAACAAAAATAGCAAAAGCCCAGTTGGGAGGAATATATTCATGAACATAATTGCCTGAAGAATATTGGGACTATTTCCCTACATTTTCTGAATTTTACTTTTGGATAGAACTATGTATTTAGAATCATTGGCTCCTTTAGAATCACTTCTACTCAGTCTAGATTGTGCAGCATGTAAATGAGCACATATTGATGAGGGAATAATCAATAATCATATGAGTCTCACTATTTCTGTTACAGGGTGCAGGTGAAGTTATTGTCCCTTACATTACACTTTAAGAGCATCTACGAAAGAAACTTCTTTTAGGTTGTAGTATTAGAAAACTTTGGGTCTTTATCTTACAGATATTTCAGATCTGTCACTGACCATATTTTCCTCTTCATTTTCACTGCTAGGAAACTGAGAGCCAAATCTGCAACCTACTTCTATCAGCTGCAGATATTAAGGTATGCATCCATCATACTCATCTTCCCCTGGTTTTACTTTTTCCTTTCTGCATATTCTTTTTTTAAAAAATATTTTTATTGATTTTAGAGTGAGAAGGGAGAGGTAGAGAGAGAAACATGTATGTGAGAGAGTAACATTGATTGATTGCCTCCTGTATGTACCCTGACTGGGGGCTGAACCCAAAACCTGGGCATGTGTCCTTACTGGAATCAAACCCGTGACTTTTGAGTACACAAGACAATCAATGCTCAACCAATTGAGCCACACCAGCCAGGGCTTTTCTATGTATTCTTTTAGCCCTGACTTCCTCAACCATTTATTCTATTTAACTAATGAGCTTTAGAGCAAGATAATCCTCTTGTTCTTAGTCCTCCATTTTGCAAATGCAAGTGGAATGAAGGGTACCCTATGCTGTCCCCCTACTTTTTGCTGGTGTGTGTCCTGACATCCAGAGATGGGGAGAGTTCAGAGTAGCAAGAGCTGGGAGGAGGGAGGGCACAGAGGAGGGAAAGAGAGAGCTCACTTTTGTGGCAGCAGGGATTGGGAGTACGTTTCTGTGGCTACAGTATTACTTCTAAGGACAATCAAGAAAGTGCCAGTCAGGAACTTCTTGCATTAAATCCAAAGGTGACATTTAAAATCCTGACATGTCCAATGTGTGTAACAGAGAATGTCATCTCCACAATGCACATTGATGAAGTAGTTTTGACCATGTTACTGTACAATTACTGTATCACCATTTGTCCACACAGATGAAATTCTAAAAATTATCCCAAACCTGGTACTATATTTTCTAACTCACAAGGAAGAGAGCACCTTCATTTAAAAACAAAAGCAAAAACACATGAGGTATGGAGAAAAGTTACTTTGACTAAGTAAAATGTTTCAAAAGCAGTTATATATCTCCAGTAAATAGGATTTGAATATTAAAAATTTTTCTTCATTGATTTTTTTTTTTTTTTTTTTTTAGTTAGAGAGGAAGGGAGAGGGAGCAAGAGATAGAACATTACTTGGCCGCCTCCTTCATGCCCCTCAGTGGGAATTTGGCCCACAACCTGGGCATGTGCCCTGACCTGGAATCAAACCAGACACCTCTTGGTGCCTGGGTTGATGCACAATCACTGAACCACATTGGCCAGGCAGGATTTGAATAATTAACTTAATAACTATAAGGAGGAGATATAACTATGGATTTTCAGAAGCCACTGAGGCTAAAGATATGGTATGGATCCGCCACATGAAATATGCCCATATTGTACACAAAACCAGTAAGAAAGGAATTTTGTTAGGTTGTTTGGAGGCCTTATACACATTTGTTTCACTGGTCTGGTGTGAAGACCAGTAGGCAACTCAATATTTTACATCACCCTAGCCATTTCCTATGTTCCTTTTCTAAATCTGTACCCATCAGGACTCTCCTCTCACATAGGAAACAAACCTACAGGGAATTCCTATTATAATCATTATTCATATAATACTTATAATAAAAAATAGCTTCTTGTGCTTTTTAAAAATCAAGATGATGTTAGACAACTCAGGTAAAAAACTAAACTACCTAATTTCAATAAGTGTAAGTGGAATACAATGCTAATTCAGGTTCTTGGGGAAAATTGCCTAATGTATATACCTTTTAATGACATTAATACTATTTTCATATTAAAATGATGTCTGTTAGCAAGGTTGACTAATACAAAGTCAAATTTTCCTCTCAACTCTTATTCCTTACTTATTTGATTTACTCTAATTCTCTAAGCATGATACAAGAATGTACCATGGACATGAACTTCATATTAGAATCAGATTTTTTAAAATGTTATTTACCAATATGTTGAATGTATTTCACTTATGGTTAAAAAATCCTAAAGAACTCCTCCGTCATCGCAGAGTCAGTATATCCAGAGTTTAGAATGCCTGCCCTTCCCACCCAGCTGCTCTTCATAAGTAATCCTCTCTGCCAAAACAAAAACAAAACCAAAAGCTGCCATGTATTTCATCTCCCAGACTTGAAAACAAGTCATTTTTGTATAGTTCTGCAAAAATTTCTGGATACAAAAAAATTGTGAGAAATATTTCAGAATTAGATATTTAAAAGAAAATATACTATGCTACAAAGATAGGAATAATACTCAAAATGTCATATGATAATCTGATAATAGTATTGTTTTTCAAAATTATTGTCATAATAGAAAATAAGTAAGAAAAATGAGCAAACCAGGGGTGAGCTTTCCTTTCAGCCAGAGCCCCACTTCCCTCAGGCTGAGGCAGGTGACCTGGACAGGAAACAACCCCTTCCAAAACATTAAGATCCCCTTTGTTAAAAACATAACAGGATTCAAAGATTCCAACAGGAGTCCACAGAAAAACCTCTGAGTATACAGCTGCGCCAGTATACATACCTTGCTAATTAGTCTCTTGTAATACCAATTTCTATTGAAATTCATTTTTCCAACAATCATTAAAGGCCTACAAAAGCCCCTGAGGGAGCCATCCATAAGACTCTTTAGCCTGAAACAGGCTCCTAGGCTTGGTGTATGGGCAACTCCATCCCTTTGAGGTCCAGGTATCATCCATGTTTTAATAAAGTTGCATTTACAATTTCTTACAAAATAAATTAAAATTATATTTCACTATTCTTCTGTGTAATTCCTGGCACAGAGGAAAACAAATGACAATTTGTGAATTGCAAAGCCTAAGCATGAATACATGACATTTGGAGAGCATTCTGACTTTTCTCTTAACTACTTCTTAAACGGAAATTGCCATCACAACCAAAAGCTGTTTCCAAAGTCTACGCATGTGTCCTTAGAGCAAAGAATTTCTGACAAATTGGTCAGACTGGTGTAAACTGAGAAGGACAAAGGGAAAGGTGAGATGACATTGAAGCTAAACTCCATCTGTTCTCAATTCCAGATTTCCCCCATAAAAACTGAGAAGCAGGGCTTTTAAACCAGAGAAAAACTAGGGAACAATTAGCATAGCATGAGTGAACAAACATTTTAAGAGGCATCACGTACTAAAGAATAATTTCCACATTTCCCTGGGAACGTATGTGTGGACTCGCTTGAATATTTATCAAATTCAGTTATCATCACTAAGAATGATCACTTCTATAAGTATATATTAATGTTAGAAATAGAAAAATGTTACCTCCAAATCCTAAGAGGGACTTTGAGCACAGATAGAGGCAGATGAAAGATGGCATGCTGCAGTGCAGCAACCTCAAAGTGAACGGAGCGCTGACTCTCCGGCTTCCATTCCCTCAGGAATATGCTCAGTGAAACACAGAAAGATCCAGGGTGGCGGGAGCAATCGTTTTACTATCACATCCAGATATTCTTCTTGAATTTAACACTCAAAAGCAAACCAGGAACAGGAAGCAATAACTGCACAGCATTTTACACTGTCCTTCAGCTTCTTCTCCTAATATTTTTCCTGGTTCCCAGGGTAGCTGCTCTGCATGACTGTGCAAAACACCAAAAAGTGCTGTGGAGCAGTTCCCAGCCGCAGGCAGACAGAAAGCCTAAAGTGGCACCCGTATTGAAAATTGTGTTGAATTTTCCGTTTAATCATGTATATGCATAGTTTTAAAATCCTTAGTTTTCCCAATTGTCATATTAATACACACTTCAAATATGCTTCAGAGAGGGCTATTGAGATCAATGTAATGATTATATTGATTTTTCCCCTTCATTTTGCTGAGGATCCGACTGAAGCTCTTTCCTTCTACTTTCCTTTCCTATATTTCCTCCAAGGGAGCCTGAGTTTATTTAACTTGCTTTATTCCCTAAAGCACAACATTAGCAAGACCACACTGGCCACACCAATAAACAGAGTCTCCATTAAGCAAATGGGGTAAACTCTAACAAAGCCAGTCCACTGAAAGGAAGCTCCAGTAGGACTGGGGCCTACATTTTCTGATTGTCTGTTATGCCATATGCCAGTATTTACGGTATCATATGTAAACATTAATTTAACCCTAAAATCAACCCTATGAACATTGTATTATCATCCCCCTTTTTACAGATGCAGAAATGATCTCAAAATGATCAAGTAAGTTGCCCAACATCTCCTAGAAACTAATAAGAAAATCACAAATGACTCAACAGAAAAGTTATCAAAAGACATGACTATACATTTCATGGCAGAACAAACATAATGCCAATAAGAATGAGAAGGGATGTTCAGCAGCATTAGTAGTCAGAGAAATGTAAATTAAATCCTCAACGAGATCATCATTTTACACTCATTCAATGAGCAAAAATGAAAAAGTCTAACAATTCCAAGTGTTGAAAGACTGTGGATACACATACCAATGAGAGTGAAAATGGGGGCAACCAACTGTGGGAAACAATTTGGTACTATATCCTGGAGTTGAACATTCACACATCCTACAATCTGGCAATTCTGTTCCTGCCCAAGGGACATTCTTGCACATGTGCCTGAAGAGCTGTGTTCAACAATGCTAAAAGCTCTGCCTGTAACAGCAAAATCCCGAAAACAGGCCAATGGCCATCAGCAAGAGAATGTATAGATAAACTACATATGTTACACATTAGAATATTAAACAACAGAACAAAATAAATGTAGTGCAGCATATCACAATATAGAGCAATCTTCCCAATAAAAAGTTAGTCTCAAAGGATTATATACATTATCTCCTTTTTAGAAAGTTAAAAACAATTTTAATGAAAAGTTTCCTTTTCAGAATACTTATGAATGCAATAACTTTGCATATAAAGAAATGTAAATGTAAAGGAATAACAAACAGGAGACTCAGGATGAGGTCATTGTTGGTGGAGACTGGATGAAATGAGCGAATAGTCCAATGGTTAGATTAAGTTTACTGTTAAAATCCTACTTTTGTTTGAGAGATGGTCACATAGGTGCATATTGCATTATTTGAAATGTCTAAATAATAACTATATAATAAAATAACATTGATGAGAGTGTATCCTTAACCAAAGATTATTAATAGTCTAGTTTTGTATATGTGAGGTCCTAAGATCATGTAAAAACGCAAGAAAAACAAACAACCAATAAACAAAAACTAGGCCCAGATTAGGTCCACCAGTCTCAAAGCTCATGCCACCACCAGGGCAGGCCACTCTTCTGTTCTCAACTAGAGATGTGCAAAAACAGTGCAAGTTACTCCCATTCACCCGTGATGATGGTGTGACATTGTGTATGGGTCATAACCAGAACTGATAACTTATTCTTTCAAGATTGTGTAGAAAGGCATAAAAGATATTACCAGTCTAATAGATACCTCTGGACAACAACACTGACTGACCTAGGCTGGAATCCTGGACCTACTACATCACTGGAGGGGAATGTCTCACTCTCACAGTTTCCTTGGGATGCAAGGATTAGTGATGATGATAAAGGTGATGATCATCATAATACTTTTTGCTGCTTATAAGGCAGAGCATTGCCAACATTTTTTATATCCCTCACTATAATCTATGAGCCATGAAATATTATTTCCAATTTAAATGCATAAATATACATGCATGTATAGAAACAAACACCCATGCATGAATAGATATATAGGTATAGGTATACATAGATATATACTCATATGTATAGATACACATATGTGTGCCGATACATTTGTTCATGAATGTATGGATATATATATATATATATATATATATATATATATGGACACATAAATATAGACACATCATATACACATGGATAGATTTATACATGTATAAATACATATCCACACATTGCCCAATTTATTACCTATTGTTAAAAACGTCCTGCTTCCTCTCCCTTCTGAGCACATCACATAGAATTGCCATGTGAGAAACAACTCAACTTAAAATGAATGAAATTGACTTGGAGCACCTGGCTCGTGATTGTTATGCTGGGCTCCTTGTTATAGCCATTGTGTGTGTTTTCAGCACCTGCTTGTTGGCATAGTCAGTCCCTCCACATTAGCAAGCACTTTAGCCTCTGCTCCTCTAGAGGATGAGGCCCACTTCTGTGACTAACCTCAGAGAGTGAACTGAGTGGAAGCTAATTAGTCAATAATTATAATCAGATCTCTCTAAATTTGGAAAAATCCATCAAGCCTTTTTGGTGTGACACAACCACCTGGACAAAAATATTATTTTATTTTATTTTATTTTATTTTATTTTATTTTATTTATATATATACATACAGCAGATGGAGTCTGGAATGTAACCAGTGCATAATGAATGGCAGCCATTATTACTATAAAAAGTAAGACTCACTATTATCATTCCTTATGTAGAATCTAGTTTTCTGACATTTGGTTTTTGATATCTTACCATGGTGGCTTTTCAGTTTTGGTGGGTTTACCCCTACAGTGTTTAAACATAAAGTTCTCATGGGTTCAGTTACAAGTGCATTCACTCCAATTAAATTTTAAGAGGCTACCGACTCCAGAGAATAATGAAAGAGTAAATAGGTTACAATTTTCTGTTGATGTAAATAAGTGAGGTCATATAAAACTTGGAAGTGGGATAAAGAAATGCTGAAAACAAACAAACAAACAAAAAACGTTACAAACTCTGAATCTCTAAAATAGATGAGAGACAGATATATTTACTACTAGCTGAAAAAGTGAATGGCACCCCCATTCCCCTACTCGCACCTACACACACACACACACACACACACACACACACACACACACATTCCATAATTTAGCTCTCTGACATTCATTAAATGCCACTCCGGTCTTCAAAACACAAAAAATGTAACTTTTTAAAAGACTAAGATGTGGTTTCACCTATGGCTTTCATATGAAAGACAGAAAAGGAAAAGGAAAAGAATCAAGACTTGGAATGAGTTTCACATCAAACTAGAAAATTTTGCTCTATGATATCTTCATAGAAAGCCCTCCAGCAATCTCAAGTCCAAAGGGTTGGCTCTCAGATCAAATCCCTAAGGCAGTGGGGCTCCATAGTCACTAAAATGTTGTTCACACATCAGAGGAAATGCAATAGAGGCTGTGATATAAAACCATGCTACAGCCCAGCCAGTGTGGTTCAGTGGTTGAGCATCAACCCATGCAACGAGAGGTTGCTGGTTCAATTCTTGGTCAGAGCACATGCCCAGGTTGTGGGCCAAATCCCCATTGGGGGCATGCAGGAGGCAGCCAATCAATGTTCTCTCTCATTTGATGTTTCTCTCTCTCTTTCCCTCTCCCTTCCTCTCTCTCTAACATCAATAAAGAAAAAACATTTAAAAATAATAATAAAATAAAACCATGCTACAAAAAGCGCTAAACACAGAAAAGACAGAGAAGCTGGAACACCTTCACAAACTTCATCCCACAGAGAGTTGAAAACAGGTAAAGGAAACGGTAGTAGAGGACAGAAATCGCAGCTGCCTCAAGGCTGGTTAGAGATCTGTGATTTAAATACATATTTCCATAGAGAATGGAATCACATCTGGAGCCTACAATTTAACTTCTCCCAACATTAAACAGATGCTTACTTTTAAAATGCTAAACAGTGTATGTTTAAGTATATTCTAAAGCTAATGTTTTCTAAATACGTCAAATGCAACTTGGTGTTTTTTGGCAAAGGCCCAAATGGTTTCCACACAAAGGATATTAGTACTAAAAAGGACTAAAGGAGTGAGCTCTTCCAGCCTTCATTTTAGGATGAGAGAAACTGAGTCCCAGGTAGCTAAGTGGTTTATTGATTCTACACAAATAGTTCGTGACTGAGCTGTAAGTATAATCTAAAGGGTAGTTTTCACTTTAAAATTTTTAACCTCATAAAAACCTAAATGTCCCATAGAATTACAGGAGCTGTCATAAAAGTACAAACTAAAAGCACTTTCCAGGGCCTGGCCGGGTGGCTCACCAAAGGGTTGTGGGTTTGATTCCCCATCTGGGCACATACTTGGGTTGCGAGTTTGATCTCCAGCGGCAGTGCATATAGGAGGCAACTGATTGAGGTCTTTCTTTCTCTCTCTCTGCCTTCCTCTCTGTTTCAAATCAATACAAACACATCCTCGGGTGAGTATTAAAAATAGATAAATAGATAAATAAAATAAAGGCACTTTCCAGGGATCCCTGAGGGACATGAGGTTGGCAGCGCAGATGCTGGGGTTTCAGCAGGGCCAGGAAGTGTCCCCGAGAAGTCTCTGGCTGTCCCAAAAGGGAGGTGGCAGATACCTCTGGGGAACTAAGAATGCTATGCCCTCGACACGCCCTACCTACCCCAGAAAGAAGCTGGTGAACAGAGAAGAGCAAGTCTGGAAAGGATTCTGGAATTCCTGAGACTAGGCAGAGAGATAAATCAGGAATATAATATTTTTTTATTTGTAGTGTACTATTTAACTCCCAGGCAGAGTGGCTGAGACCACCAGGACATGTAGAAAACACACAGCCACAGTCTCAACCACATGCCAGGCAAGTGCCCCACACACCTTAGCTCTTCTAAACCTCAGGGTCGTCATTTTAATCCAGGTCTGCTAA